CCGGGCGGTATATAAATAAATTTTATTATTATTATTATTATTATAAAATGCCTCACAAATTTGAAATACACTGAAAAAACTCTTGAGTTCCAAAATAATAATGGATCACTGATGTAATACATACAGTTAAGGGGAGGGGGAATTAATCTATCCTAAATGACCTGAACCAAATCAATTGAAAGAACTGTAAATGAGAATTAATGGAATGTTTTGTGATGTTTCTGGACAAATTTATAAACCAGTCAATAAGGGATGATGTCTATGGCCAGTGATATCCATTTACCAGCTATGCTAATTGCAAGAAAAAATATATATTTCTTCCATGTATATATGGTAACTTGTAGTGGCATCTGCTTGGTTAATTGTTAACCGCTTGTTTGTAATTGTGAAATTCATTTTTAAATGGACGTGAAAGTACTTTGGGGGGGCGGGGGGAGTCCTACCCCTTGGTTTATGGATTTTCAGACTTAGGGCCTATTCAGGCTGCCAGAAATAATCCACTTTAACTGCCCTGACTCAGTGCTAAGGAATCATGGGAACTGTAGTTTATTGTGGCACCAGAGCTCTCTGACAGAGAAGGCTCAATGTCTCAGAAAAAATTACAATGCCCATGATTCCCTAGCATTGAGCCAAAACAGTTAAAGTGTTTTCAAGCTGGATTATTCCTGGCAGTCTATACATGCCTGATATGATTCATATCAAAGACTCCAAAACTCCCTAGAAATAGGCAAAACAACAACAGTACAACAGTGGCTTGCCTTTTGTACCAAAAAGAGATGACTGCCTGTCTCCTCTCCTCCAAGAATGATGGAAAACCTGTTAGTCATGCTGCTTTATGAGTGACATGACACTTAGTAGAAAGAAAATACTGTTTGTGGCCCCTGTTTATTAAGTCTCTGATAGGTCCCTGATAATGATCCTCCTTGGTTCACCATTTTAGGCAAGATCTTTCTTTTCTTTTCTTTTCTTGCCTGTTGCGAATATTCTGCCAAATAATTCTAAACCTAGAATACCCACCAATATCCAGAGCTTTTGTTTCCCCCCCTATGTCAGCCACCTAAAAATTAAATGGTTTGCTTAATGTTGGTTCTACCATCACATGGTATGAGAGCAGAAGATGCTGTCAGACAACAGCAGCCACTTTAGGGCGCTTCCTCATAAATTCTAGGGGAGATCAGAACTGTGTATGCCACATAACCAGACCTCGCCTCCTTAAACCAGGCTGCTACCTCTAGTGTGGATGGAAGATGTTATCCCATTACTAATGGAAGATTCACCCACTAATTCAATAAGCCTCCATAGGGACTGGGGAGGAGGGGCATTTTGTCCTTTGCCTCAGGTAGCAAAATGGTTTAGGCCATTCCTGCTGCTGAAAGAGCTCCTTTCTCTGGACTCCTTTGCCTTTCAGCTGACATGTTCTACAGAATTCTAACAGAAAGGAGAAAGAGGCTTTCTAGGCAGTTTCTGCCAGGAA